AAGTACATCTTATTACAAACACTTGATGCAACTGGTGATGTTGGAAGATTACCACAGTGTTGAAAGAAGCCTGAAGCAACACAGTCACTGTAATATCAATGATCAGACATTACAAAACAGAATATCATCAGTTTGACACTATTCAAGTAGAGCATATTTAGCAACAGAATGATCTGGGTCCTAGCCATAGGGGCTGTCTTAGAGTTTTACTGCTGTGAACAGACACCATGACCAAGGCAACTTTAATAAAGGACAACATTTAGTTGAGGGTGGCTTACAGGTTCAGAGGTTCAATCCATTATCATCAGGGCAGGAACATGGCAGCATCCAAGCAGGCATGGTGCAGGAGGAGCTGAGTTCTACATCTTCATTTGAAGGCTGCAAGCAGAAGACTGAATTTCAAGAAGTTAGGATGAGGGTCTTAAATCCCATGCCCACAGTGACACACCTACTCCAACAGGGCCATACCTTCTAATAGTGCCACTCCCTGGGCAGGGCATATACAAAGCATCACAGGAGTAGAACCAGCTGAAGGGAATGACTGCCCTCTGAAAAGGGTGTGAGGAGGTCCAAAGGGAAAGACCAAGGCCCCACAACAGTACATCACAGCAGCACAGCAGGATAGAAGAAGAGTCTTCTTTGGGAGAAGTGCTAAAGGACATATTTGCCAGAGAGAGAAATCTCTAGAAGCATCTCACTTTATAACTGTGGGTATATTTTCCTTGAGGAAATAGATAGTTTCTAGCAGTGGTTCTACAGTACTTTTATTATTACAAATAATTAAATTTCTGAATAATTTGGGGGTGGGCTTGGATCCATTTACTCTAATTGGGAATAAATGTTTAGGCATTGAACACTTACTTTGCCCCACTTCATGTTTTAAGATCCAGATATAAAACAACGAACAAAAGAAAATGTTTACCCTCAGGCAGCTTGCACTCCAGTGGTTACCTGAATGTCACAAGGAATGTATCAAGAACTTACATGGGCTCTAATAGAAAGTAATTTCCCCTTTGCATGTAGTTGTTACCTATTAAATTTATCTCACTTTTATTTCCTGAAAAATTATCTTTCCAAAAGCACATTTAATAATCCTAAGCATTGAGGCTAGAGAGATGGCACAGTGGACCGCTCTTCCAGAGAGCCTGAGTTCAGTTCCCAGCAACCACATGGTGGTTCACAACATCTGTAACAAGATCTGATACACAGTACAATGTACTCATATTAATTAAATAAAGAAATCTGTTTTTAAAAAGTCCGAAACCTCCATTATAAGTCATATGATCTTTGTACACATTTATAATTTCAAAACTTAAATGGAAAGATTTTCCTTTTTTTCTAGAAATCTTCCTACATTTCTGTTGGAAATAAAAAAACATCTCCTGTTCCATGCATTGAAGTATTTGGAATGGCTCTCATTTTGGAATTCAAATTTATTGTTGCCATGTAACAATAACCAAAATGCATTTATCAGGTTACTGAGTGTTTATTTATGCTTATTGGTGTCCATTTGAGCTATGACTATCAGAAATGTAGTAAAATACACAATTCTCAAAATATTGTACACTTTTTGATAGTTTTCTGAGAGTGTCTTACAGTGTTTTGATCATACTTGCCCTCTCTACCCCAATCCCAGACTTACCTGCGTACTCACCCAAATTTGTGTACTGAAAATGCCAAAAATCTTCAAGACTAATTGCTGCTTCCCAATGTGTGCTCTTCCACTAGAGTGTGGCCAACCCATCCGATGCTACACTCTTAGAGGAAGCTGTCTCTCCCTCTCCCAGCTGCTCACAGTTCCCAGCAGGGCACAGTCAGGGCTGGGATCTCCTGCCCAGCTCCCCATTTGTAGATGAGATTTGCTCTACTTTGTGCTTACACAGGTTTTGTGCATGTTCTTGCAACCACTGTGAGTTCATGTGTGCAGAGGACCTTGTGTTTCCCTTTACTCATCCACTGAAGTAGTACAAGAGGTCATCTAGATCTTAGAACAGGGATGTTAGAGGTGATTGTGTTTATAGATCTCCTTTTAAATATGAAAACAGAAGCAAAGTCTGGAGCCTGAGTTCTGTGGCTCACAGGTGGGTGTTTCTGTCTGCTTTGTCAGTAGGGCCTGGATGGATATTGACTAGGAAAGCCTCTGGTAGCATTGCTCCTGACATTAGTTTCATATGACTCCCCCTAATTCATGATCTACGAAATGCAAGATGCATGTGTTACCCTGACTGAAGTCTCAACTTATACTACTACTCACCTACATCTTAGTAGGCAGATGATGTTCTGATCTCCAGCCAAAAATTAGTTAATTTTCTGAGCATCGATTACATGGACACAGTAAAGATAAGCATGTGTATTTGCTCACATTCCAAGCACTGTGTTAATTACACAGCTCTCACGACTCTAAAGTGATAATTTCATTGTTCTCATTTTATGGAGGAAGAAATTAAAACCACGATATAGAAGTTATAGAAAAGCCACACAGCACCTCAGCCTTACACTTAGGTAGGAATCCTGCTCTCCATCCAACCTGGTTTAAGGTGACCTTAGTCTGATAGCATGAGCCACAGGCACAAAGGATCTGGATGGTCAGTTGACAACCTAAGTCTGGTGATGAGGGGGCTGAGTCATAGTTAAGTCTCAAATTCTGTTGTCTTACAATGTAGATGTATATAGAATGGCTTTGTCTGTCACCCCCAAGTGCTTTCTCTGACATTTGTCTTACAATTAAAAATAGTTTTTTCAGATAGGTGGTGTTAAAAACTAATACAAACAGGCATGTTAAAATTTTCTTTGCCAAAATTGCTCTTCACATTCATTTGCAAATGTTTGACTTTCTGTGTAATACAGAATGGTAAGCCAACTTTTTGTTAACACTTGTTGGAAGCGGAGCCTTTTTCATAATGTGAAATCTTTGGGGTTTAGTGCTATAGGCATGGTATTTTCATCATGCTTGTTCTATTGTATTATCCAAGGGAGATTAGTGAAAAGAATACCCCTGATGTTAAAATGGTGATTCATTCTTTGTGATTAAGACAGACAGACCAGGCTATTCTGACAACATAGTGAAGCTCATTAAGCTGGGGAAAAAAAAGAATGAAAGAAAGAAAAGGAAAAAAAGAAAGGAAAAAACCCTTTATTTTGTCTAATCTAACAATAATTTTAGTGGAGAAAGAAAAATAAAATTGCTTTTGATAGAATAATGATATCAAGTTTTTGACTTCCGGTCTGTGCCCGAGCATACAGCAGGTCACAGGCAGCAGCTCTGTACCCAACACCAGAAAACCGAGAGAAAGAGGGACTCCCAGGAGCTTTCACTCAGGCAGCATCCCAGGTAAAAATGAAGCACCCGTGATGTCTGCGGTTAGAAGTTCTAATCCAGATGCTGGCCTCCGAACTTAAACTACTCAGACCTTTGAAGGGCCACAGACAAGAACATCAAACAGCTAGAGATTGACATCACTAATCTGAAGAAATCCCACATTTCGCCGTCTGAAGAGCCCTCCTAAAATCGCAAAGATCCTTATTGGACTTGATTTACTCTAGTACAATAGAAAAGACTGTATACAGCTCTTGACTGTGTACAACCCTCAAAGAAGAAGGTTGCCTTTACATAGACAAGACAAGGAGGGTTAAAGAGAGCATGAAATAGGTAGTGAAGCCTAAGAAAAATCAGAGAGAGAAAGAGACAGATGAGCACAAGAATTGATTTGCAACCTCTCCAAGGTTGTCAACCCTATTTCCTTCCATCTTGGAACCATTATTTGGGTTCTGTTTGCTTTTTTCTGCTGGTCCCTGGGCCTCAAATAGGCGGACTAACTCTGTGATACAACAGATAAATAATTTGGTAGCAAAACCTACTCAGATACATTATCATAAGTTAGCTATGAAGGACCACGAGACTCAAGATGAGGTTGTTACTTTATACAGGGTGTTTCCAAAACCCATCCTAAAAAGGGAGGACTTCTCCCCCTAGGCCAAGCAGAGAGGGGCCACCCAGAACCCCCTCTGACAGGCAATCTGAATTCTTGCTTAGGCTGCAAGGCTAAGCACTGCAAGGGAATATCAATAAAAGATAAAAATATCTCTCTGGGTTCCCTGAGGGACAAGCCTGACTGCATAGAGGTTGATGTCAAAAGTATTCCCTCTCCAGGAAAAAGACATCGGGACAGGTATGGCCCTCATGCCTCACTGGACAACGACAGGGGGACTGGAGCCATTACAAGTCCCCTTCAAATACTGGAGGTCAGGCCTCTATCCCTGCCTTTGCAAGTTTAGAATTGCCACAGCCCTTCTATACTTAGAGAAGGGAGGAGATGTCAGGGGCAGCCCTGCTTACACACTGTAGGCCTAAAATCAGCCATAGGCTGATCAGCAGTGGGCCTGTCATACATGTATACTAACACCAAGTCTTGGGTCTCAGTGGAAGAACATTGAAACAGATGGCTATAAGCTAATGTCAATGGGCAGCTTTTGTGGAAATTTATAAGCCTGAGTGGTCATGGACCTTGTAAATAGGTAGCCTTGGCAGATGTCCCCTTAGATGGGGACAAGCGAGTCATAGGCAGAGTCATGGTGACTTGTCCCCTGAACCTTCACCCAGCCGATACCCGGTTCTGAAGATATCTGTATTCCCCCTGAGCACCCACACTCCAGTGTCATTCCCTTCTCCACATCCTGCCTTTCTGTATTTATACCCCTGTGTGAATTAATTATGATTTGAGAAAAAATTAAAAAATAATAAAAAAGAATGGAAAAAAGAAATATAAATAAATAATGATATCAAGTTTTCATTCACAGAAATTAAACAGTAAAAGTCTTGTCAGTGACTTTTGAGCAGTCAGATTTGCATTTAGCCAAATGCAAAGAAGCCAATAGGGCTTTGTTTTCCTGTTCTGAAGCTTTTGGTCTGTGTGTTTCTGAGGTGAGTATAGACGATAGATAACCTATCCGAGGAAATTCAGAGCTGATGCCTGCCTTTTCTCCCTTTTCTCCCCCTCCAGCTCTTTCTCCTCGTGGTCTGGAACTTTGAACTTTACATGATGCCACTGCTGCTGTTGTTACTATTGACATGGAACTACTTCCTAATCATATCTGGGAAAGACAACAGACAACGGGACACAGTAAGTCTCTACAATTTGTCCTGTGTTTTTCTTTTTCCCAGTCTCACTGATGAGGTGATGTTGAATGTAGTCTTATAAACCAAAACTTAGCTGTAAATATTCAACTTTGGAGAAAGGTTTTGTAAGATCAAACTTAACAACTCTTTGCTCTTCACACAGTGCGTAGTATCCACCTGTTTCAGAATGATCAGCTTGGTAGATGAGAGGGTATTGAGCTGAGATATAAAGGTATTAATGTTGTTACTCCAAACCTTTATTTTTTCCATCTTTCTTTTCATTTTATGTCTTAAGAAACCCTGAATTAAGAGATAATGTCATAGGCTTGTTAGTCATCAGACCAAGTTAATGTTCTCCACTTAAGACAGTTCTCTGTGCAAACTTCATTGGAAGGGAAAGTTGATGGTTCTTAGTCTGCAAAGTATACTAAATACCTTAATTTGGTGACTCCTTACTAACAACCACAGTATGTGTTTCTGAGTCAGGTATATTATGATCCAGACTTAAAGGCTTCTGATTTAATCACAGGATCACTAAGCTAAAACTGCCCTCCCTACCCTGTGACATTTTTGAAAGTTCTTAGAATGTGTGAGACAAGATGCAGTGGCCTGATAAGGGCCTTCGCATTGCCCCTGGTCAGGCCTGCTCCTCTGGGGTTTGGTTCAGTCACTGCAGTCCTAGCAAACTTACCCGATCTCATTCCACATATAATTGAAGGGATGAAGCATCTTCTCAAATCTGCTTTTCATTCAGCTGTCTTGAGGCATATTTACAAACAAGATTATTAGCAAATAAGAAAAGTAGCAATATAGTTTTAGTTTCTATGTCCTATGGGAGAAATTACAATTATCTTAAAGAGTTAGTCATTGATTTGAGAATTCTTTGTGAAATTCTATTTTTTTTCTTTTCTTTTTTTCTTTTCATGTGATATCCAGTTTTCTGTTTACATCTGTTAAATGCAGTCCTTTCTCCAATGAATGATTATGACGTTAGGTGTGAACTTATTTCTCTATCCTTCATTCAGTGTAATTGATTTGTGTATCTTTCTTGTGGGCCAGGAAGTACATGCAGTATTTATTTTAAGTCAGTACTCACAGTGTTGCACCTGTTGCTCAAGACTGAATGACTTTGCATCAGACTGCTTTGTCTGTTGCTATGAGGGATGACCTTAAGATTTTGACAGGGGGCCCACTCAGTCTATGCAGCACT